TAGATACTTTAACTTAGTCCTCAGATAGAGGAGTGTTGCTGCTAGCTCCGTTAAGGTATTTCTGTCCCCCCCAAACTGCATTGAAATGGTATGTTTAGCAGCCAGAATTTAAACATTTTCAGGGGGAGAAACCCCCTGACCCCTCCTAACATGATCCATATCACCCGTCAGAAAACAATTGCAACGTCTCAGATTGTGCCCCCCAGAATTTGGGCTTGCATGACCGTTTCCCAAAGCCAACTATGGTCGCAAGTTCCGTCGTTACCAATAGAGTTCAATGAAAATTGCGATCATAGTTGGATAACGATGCTTTCGGGAAACACCCCTGGATAGTTGTTGTATCCCAGTCGATCAAGACGTTCTTAAAGACATTGTATTGTTATTTCACTGGGAATAAGAACACTTCCGTCTACAGCCTGCCGGTAACTGTCTCTTTTTTATTATCGGTGCGCACCACAATGACCGAATGATTACGTGGTCAAAATTCCTGTCTTTTTACACTATTGTAAATAGAGTTAAAAAAATGACACGAGTCACGACGCATTGCATTATGCATCTGACCTGCCGGCTGATGACGGCTATTTAATACATCAAGAAAACACGATTAGCCTACAACACACTGCACGTGGATGAATAAAATGTATTCGCTTCATTTAATAATATTACCAGTTCCATTTTATCTTTATTAAAAAATAAGACAATAAATGGTTTTATTTTTTAAATTTGACTGCATTCTTGTCAATTTCTAAATGTTTACTTTTTTATAGCCTATGAATTATAACACTGATAGAAAAACAACAACATTATTTTGCTGTTACTTTTTAAAAATAGTTTGTATTCTTATTTAACAATTTATTGCTTTTTTGATAGTTTTTATTAATTGTAATTTTTATATAAACATTTAACTTTTAAAATAGAGGTTTTACAACAACATCACCATCTTCTGTTATATGTGGGCCTTGCTCATCTATTGTACATATAGGCTATTGTTGGGGACCTACATAAATATTTTTTCAGAGGCCCCGAATCGTCTAGCTACGGCCCTGCAAATGGCAGAGCCGACTTGTTCAAAAGGCTGTAGTCGCCTGTTGCCCCTGAACCGCTCTATGTAAACATTATATCCGAGTAAACAGAATGTGCATTATAGGCTATCACTACGCAGTTTAAGATGCGCAATCGCATCGTATGGAGCTCATTAAACATGATACCATTCACACAAGCGGTGAGGAATAAATTACCCACCACATTACATAAAAAGGATGGTTCTGTATTATTTATACATGACAAATCACTGAAAACTTTAATAAATACAAAACAACAGTATAAATAAAAGGAGAGAAAATTAGAAACATACACCGTACCCAGCAAACATGCTTCTTTGGGGCTCGAATGGGGCCATTGCGGGCAGCCCACTGTGGGCCCAGATACCGGCGTGAAATGCGGGGCACGTGTGGGTCCCACACTTTGGGACCCAGGTGGGGCCCCAGTGGGACAGCCCAAAAGTGTGGGCTGACTGTGGGCAGGCCCACAGTAAGTAGAGTGGGCCCCATTGGGGCCAGTTGTGGGCCCACAGCAAACCCTTATAGGGGCCCATGTGGGGCCATTGCGGGCAGCCCACTGTGGGCCCAGATACCGGCGTGAAATGCGGGGCACGTGTGGGCCCCACACTTTGGGACCCAGGTGGGGCCCCAGTGGGACAGCCCAAAAGTGTGGGCTGACTTTGGGCTGGCCCACACAAATTAGAGCAGGCCCTCATGTGGGCTGGATGTGGGCACACTGTGGGTGCAGGTGCAAAGTTTGAGCACACAGAGTAGGTACACCCATATTACTATATGCAGTACAATTGCACTTGTTAGCAGCAATAAATCGAGGGTCATGTTTTTTTCCCCAAATAATTTATTTATATTTAATAATAATTATAATTAATAATAATACAGTTTAAAACAGCAATAACCACAAAAACAGAAACACAGAACACTTAAAACACGTCAAAGTAAATTAAAAATCAATCCCCTCAGGGGCACCAGTAGGTATTTCTGCAGTTCTGGCCCTTCCTTGCCTTCCCCCATCTCCGTCCCTGGCATCACGGAGCCATGTCTTTATAGAGGCTTCCACCTCACATGCAGTGGCTTGACTGATTTTTGTCACAGCATCTAAGTGAGAAAGGATCAAAATACAAATGTTAAAAACAAAATAAGGGTTGTACTGTTAAGCCATTTCAACCTAAGAAAGTTTTCAACCTGCACTTTGAATGAGGAAACGTCTTCTGATTGTTCCAGGTGCTAATTATAAATGCTCAACTGAGAGAATGACTGAATAGGGCAATGAGAGAGCTGCGGTTTATAATAACGTTCAGTTGTAAGTCATTTATAAGTGGTTAGTTAATGATGAACTAAGCGTTTACAAAACATTCATAAATGATTAGCAAGTGATATACTAACATTTTATGTATGTTTTGTAAAATCTGTTACAAGTCATTTACAAGTGATTAGTAAATGATTAACTAATTTTTTATGTTTAATACGTGATATGTTAATTATTGTATGCATGTTTTGTAGATTCAGTTATAAGTCATTTACAATTGCTTAGTTAATGATTAACTAATCATTTACAAAACATGAACGTTTCATAAATGTTTAATAAAGGTTTTTATTTTCTCCCTACTCTTACAAAATTACAAACAACCAGCCTGAAAAACATGTTGTATGAAGACTGTTTAAAACACCCCTCCTAATCCTCACAGAATTTGCAAGACAATGTCTATAATAAATAGTGTAATTTCTTCAGTACCGTCAGCAGAGCTGATAACGCCTGGGCTTATCGATACTGCAGTCTTCCTTAATTTGGCCACAGGGCCCGTTTAATGTTTAATACCGGGTTTCGGTACCCATACCTACGTATGGGTGAGTTCATATGGATGAAAGCCTGTTGTGTTCTGTCTCTTGGTTTGTAATAGTGGCAGCTATTGTGAAACTCACCTTCATCTACTTAGTGTGGATGGCATCAAGATCTGTGCCCGGTTGCATAAAGCACCTTAAAGGGATAGTTCACTTTGAAATAAATTTTTGGTATGTTTTAGCTTACCTCAAGGGCATCCAAGATGTAGGTGTCTTTGTTTCCGCAGTATTTTCAATTTTGATATTTTTAGGTCAAACCGTTCTTGTCTGTCAGTCATATAATGCAGGTCTATGGTCACCACCTCAAAGAGCACGCACAGAGAAGTCCAAATTAAACATGATTTAATGACTCGTAAATGTAAGTACACATTGATGGCCTACGACACGAAACGAACGGTTTGTGTGAGAAAACGAACAGTATTTATATCGTTTTACCTCTTGTAATCACAGTCACGTCCAAGTGATCTGACGGCACCGGCGCTTCGGTCTTTTCCGGAAAGCGCCGGAAGTGATCTATCGCGCGTGTACGTCACTCATACAATTTTTTTATTGTTTTCTTTTACGACGGTTTAAACATCCCGGATAAGCGCAAATTAGAACCATTTTAATTAGTCGTCTTCAGGGTCCGAAATTAACACCCGCCAAGCGCCAAATGCGGGTAGATTTTCCGTTTGGCGAGTAAATCTCAAAAGGCTATCCGCCCCACTGGCGGGTGAATGTTCATACCAAAATAGTAATGTAACGAGTTAACGTTATCGAGTCCTCTTATCGATGCTCCTGCTCCAAAGCGATTTTTTTGTCCCGCCATAGTCTTATTTGATCTGTGAGTAATGTAGACGACAGTAGTGCGTGTGACAGGGCGCAACTGAAGCACGAGCAGAGAGAGAGCCCCGGCCGCGCGCACTCTTTCTCTTAGCGCTGTCTTGCTCTCTCTCCTTGTCACATATTAATCAAAATAAATCGACACGATGGTAAAAGGTCGGAAGACCATAGTTTCATGTGGAGCATTCGGATATATTTTTTCCTGAATTACCGCTGGGTGTGAATTGTGCTAAAATACCTTATCTTCTCTGAAGCGTTCCGCACATTCAGCTGACAAACCACACTTTAAATAAACGAAAAAACCTATCCAGTGATTAAATGTTTTCTGTGTTGACACAAATCTTGTGGGATGTCCTTGCTGCCGGGATAATCACACAACGCGAACACATCCGATAATGACACGTCCAATTCGCGAACTAATGACTTATTTGTACCGATTCATTTTAATGAATGGTTAAAACAACTGATATTTCCAGTCCTTCAGTTACTGATCGGATCAGTCAGAGTAAATGGAGTAAAAAAAAAAAAAATAGGCAGAGTAAAACTAAATATTTTTTTTAAAATAATTATAATAAATTATTATTGCATATTTTTTATTAAATACAATTAATACATTTAATTTGTACAGAACTATTTTCATATAGGCACCACCACAAAAATATTATTTTAATGTGTGTAAATTGTGTAATATGTGTGTAAATAAAAGTAAAAATGGAAAATAATAGACCAGAAATATGACAAAAATGTTTAAATATAGCCTATATATAAATTAATGTATATGTGACACAAAAAGGCTGTTTATTATTTTGGCCGGTAAAAAATATGCTTGGCTGGTGGATTTTTTCATCTACCAGTCCCCGTGGCAGGTGAGCCAAAAAGTTAATTTCGGACCCTGGTCGTCTTACCTACAATCTCTGTTCTGTGTAAACAATGAGTGACGTACACGCGCGAGAGATCACTTCCGGCGCTTTCCGGAAAAGACCGAACCGCCGGCGCCATCAGAGTACTTGGACGTGACTGTGTTTACAAGAGGTAAAAACGATATAAATACTGTTCATTTTCTCACACAAACCGCGCGTTTCATGTCGTAGGCCATCATGTGTACTTACATTTACGAATCATTAAATCATGTTTAATTTGGACTTCTCTGTGTATGCTCTTTGAGGAAGTGACCATAGACCTGCATTATATGACTGACAGACAAGAACGGTTTGACCTAAGGGAAACATAAGGGTGAACTTAAGGGAAAATTACACTTAAGGTGCTTTATGCAACCGGGCACTGGTCCTGAAGAATCACAGGGTCAAATGATTATATCTTATCTGGTAACAAGAGCATAGCCATAACTTTAAAAACTCTAATGATATCTTTACCCCCTGATATTGCATTGCGGATATAAATTCATTTATAATTTATAATTCATGATATAATACATTTTAAAGAGTATGAGCCACGAGTAAACTGGACAGATCTGTGAAAAATAACTTGCGTGCCTAAAGTTGTCGACCCCCTGAATTCAGCATTTAAAAGTAAAAAGAATTTCAAAATTTATCAGTAAAAAATACATAAAAATAAATAAATAAATACCTTTGAGTTGGACAGTATGGTGTCTGTCTCATTGGCCAACATAATTAAAAACACACCTAGAGAAAAAAAAAATATATATATATATACCAGTGACCATGATATCCTGTTATCATAATAGTTAAATTAATTATTATAACTATGACCATTATAACATTATATTTGCCGCCTATTTAGCCTACAGGCTTCTCAAGGACAATATCACTGAAAAAAACTGGGGTTAATGAATTTAAAGTGTGAGACTTCATTAAAAAGCATAAATCCTACAGACCCCCAACTTTTGAACAGTATGTTTGAGGTTTTGCTTACTAGTCGAGTTCATAGCCGTGGAGATTGTCTTGGACGGGGTGCAGCAGGCCATCAGCATGATGATCTTCTAGAACATAACATGCAATGTGTCACAGAGCCAAAAATGTTACATAGGATTTACAATAGAACATAGGGTTCATTACAAGGAAGCAAGCTAGAGATGAAATGCAGAAAAGATAAAGAATATATATATATATATATATATATATAATCTTAAGGCAATATATATTGTGCAATAAATGCATATGAAATTATTATCATGATTAAACAATAATTCCCCCTTTGTTGTGGAGGTTTTTTTTTCTGTCCCTCCTGAAATCACTTTTATTATCAATATTTGTAAGTGACGTCACTGATTAACAGTACGTTACAGTGAATTCTTTCAGGTTACAATCACCCATTGACAAATTACCAGCAAAACAAAACTATCAAAAACTGTTATCAACACAAAGATGTGGTTAAAACCCCAAACTTAAGTAAAACAAGAGCTCAAGTGTAACGTTAACTTAACTTACTCTTCTGAACACGGTTGAGATGCTAACGGACTTTTTCGAAGACACAAAACCATTTCAATAAAGTAAATTATGAAGGTAAATCAGTAGCTAAACTCGAGAGCACGTAGATGTGAATTTGAGAACTTGTACAATAAATATTCGTACTTGTATGTGAACATTTACACTTACAGCTCCGATGTGAAAACCTGTAAAATAAAAATCTGAACTTGAACGCTGAGATTTGCACTCGCAGACAATAGTCACAAACCTGTATTCTGAATCTGAAGCTGCAGACAAGCAGTCACAAATGTGTAAAATGCCATTCACAGAAATACAACGACAGACACAAACTTGTAAAATATATTTGCACTTCTTCTAACATTCAAATTCGCAGTACAACCTCAAATTGGCACTTGCAACTTCTCAAATCTGTCACTGCAAGTTCAAATTTCGCACCTTGACTTCTGCTACTCTTTTCGCGATATATGAGGTGCAAAACTGATTTGTGCACTTGTAACTCAGTGGCGGCGAGAGCGGAAGGGGGGCGGGAGCGGGGGTGTTCGAAGGAGCCGTTTTATTGGTTGGCGCCTAGCCAATGAAATGGGACTTCTATTGAATGCGATGATGTCACGAAACCCGCCTCCTCGTGGATGTTCTGAAACGCTAACATGGCTTAATGCATTAGACTAATTTAAAAGACATAAATTATATTATCAAACTCAGTAAACACAATAATGCATACTAGAGAAAAGCAGATGAGCACAGAATATGAACGCAACACGTTAACTTAAGACAGTGGTATGAAAAGACCAAACTCAGGAACCACCATAAATAAAGCATACAGAAAAGCAATTGAGCAGAAAATGAACGCAACTTGTTTAATTGTACGTTAAGCATTTTCCTCTCATAGAAAACCAAGAAAACGCTTAATGAGGCTTAATGGACCAACAGTTATATATGAATAGTTCAGATGCAAAAGCCTCTAAGTGCCATTTGAAATTTTCTTCTAGAATGATCATTTTTATCAAGCTTGTATATTTAAGACAAGTTCAGTAATTTCACTTAAATGGCAATGAAGATTACCTATTAATTATCATTTAAGTGAAATTACTGAACTTAAATATACAAGCTTGATAAAAATTATCATTCTAGAAGAAAATTTCAAATGGCACTTAGAGGCTTTTGCATCTGAACTATTCATATATATATATATATATATATATATATATATATATATATATATAAATTCGTTATACATTATTAATTAAACACAGGCAGCTGGTTTATTTGCACTGAACACAAATTTGCTTTCTTTTGTCATATTCTGTGCTCATCTGCTTTTCTGTATATGCATTATTAGTATGGTGTTAATATCACTAAGTTTGATAATATAATTTATGTCTTTTAAATTAGTCTAATGCATTAAGCCATGTTAGCGTTTCAGAACATCCACGAGGAGGCGGGTTTCGTGACATCATCGCGTACAATAGAAGTCCCATTTCATTGGCTAGGCGCCAACCAATAAAACGGCTCCTTCGAACACCCCCGCTCCCGCCCCCCTTCCGCTCTCGCCGCCACTGAGTTACAAGTGCACAAATCAGTTTTGCACCTCATATATCGCGAAAAGAGTAGCAGAAGTCAAGGTGCGAAATTTGAACTTGCAGTGACAGATTTGAGAAGTTGCAAGTGCCAATTTGAGGTTGTACTGCGAATTTGAATGTTAGAAGAAGTGCAAATTTGTATTACAAGTTTGTGTCTGTCGTTGTATTTCTGTGAATGGCATTTTACACATTTGTGACTGCTTGTCTGCAGCTTCAGATTCAGAATACAGGTTTGTGACTATTGTCTGCGAGTGCAAATCTCAGCGTTCAAGTTCAGATTTTTATTTTACAGGTTTTCACATCGGAGCTGTAAGTGTAAATGTTCACATACAAGTACGAATATTTATTGCACAAGTTCTCAAATTCACATCTACGTGCTCTCGAGTTTAGCTACTGATTTACCTTCATAGTAAATATTCAACAGAAGCGTATCAATTATACGTAAGAAATGTGTCAGGAACGTTTGTATGTATTATTTGTGTGATTTTGTTAACTAAACTTACCTGAAAGCAGTGAAAACAACAGGGAGAGACGCTAGTTTTGCTGTTTGTCAGTTGATGAGGTTTCCTCGTTTCCATGGTTTCCATCTGCTCGCGTGCGTGCGTCTTTGAATCAGACAGCTTTGAATGCGACTCAATGTTTACGCGCACGCGCATTGAAACCATAGAACAATTCAAAAGGCACGCAGAATTAAAACATTTAACAATTTAAAATATCATTAATTTTAAATCATGAATTTAAAAATCATTGTGTAGTTCTATGACCCATGTAATTTTTTTTTTTTTTTTACATTAAAAGAGAATATGAAAGCATACTGCTTTAAATGAAAGATGGTAATGAAATTACCGTCCCGTGACGTTGCAGTTTCGTTGCCAGCAAGTCATAAAATTACCAAGTTATTACGATTAGAGTACGTATCTGCGACGTTGTTGGTTATATTATAACCTTAGGAGGACGTACTGACGACGTTGTGGGTTGGTAATATGATGGTAATGAAATTACGGGCATGCGACGTAGTTACGTTGCCAGTAAAATTACAAAGTAATTACGATGTACACAATCATTTCGATCTTCAAAGTACCAATTTATAGAGGTAAATCCCCACAAGGGGGATGGGGCCCCAAGTCCCAGAGTGAGGTTTATTTGTTAACCATAACAAATAATTGTGTCTGATTGGTCTCAGTCGTTACATCAGTGATGCATTTATTAGTATCAATAATAAATAATTTTATTATAATAAATATACATCACTAATGAATACCAAAACAAATCAGTAAACCATTTCCATTGTTTTTATTGTGACAAATAAGTTAATTTTATTTAATAAATACGTAACACTTTCTATGCAGTCCATGCTTATAATGAATTATAGCACCATTTACTTATTTATGAGCAATATTACTATTCTATAAATATATGTATAAAGACTCACTAAGACCTACTGCATTACAATATATAGTTACATATTATTTTTTATAATTCCTTATAAGTCACAAATTTGTTATTTTAAATGCACATGCTCAATCCATTATATGCCGCTTTAGTTAATTATGGACTGTTGAATGAAATAACATTTATGACATTTCACGGGATCGTTAAATAGTTTGATTAAGCTTCTAATCTTAAACCTTTTAATCTTAAAACATATGACTGTTAAACAACTTAAAACAATGTACTGTTATGGTGGGTTGCCCACAGTAAACCCTTGTGGGGGCCCCATAGTGAAAAACAGCTATGTGCCCCGCATGGGCTAACTGCCTGGGGGCCCGTGTGGGTTTTCTGTGGGCAAACCCACAGTGGGTTGCCCACAGTAAACCCTCATGCGGGCCCAAATGGGCAAAACTGCTATGGGCCCCACATGGGCTAACCCACAAGGGGCCCTTAAGGGGTTTTCTGTGGGCAAACCCACAGTGGGTTGCCCACAGTAAACCCTCATGGGGGCCCAAATGGGCAAAACTGCTTTGGGCCCCACATGGGCTAACCCACTAGGGGCCCTTAAGGGGTTTTCTGTGGGCAAACCCACAGTGGGTTGCCCACAGTAAACTCTCATGGGGGCCCAAATGGGCAAAACTGCTTTGGGCCCCACATGGGCTAACCCACTAGGGGCCCTTAAGGGGTTTTCTGTGGGCAAACCCACAGTGGGTTGCCCACAGTAAACCCTCATGGGGGCCCAAATGGGCAAAACTGCTATGGGCCCCACATGGGCTAACCCACTAGGGGCCCTTGAGGGGTTTCTGTGGGCAAGCCCACTGTGGGCTTGCCCTCAGAAAGCCCACATGGGGCCCCAAAGGGTTTGCCCTTGCCCACACTGTCCCACAGAAAACCCACACTTACCCACAGTGGGCCCGCACTGGCATGTTTGCTGGGTAGCACCACGGCCGCATTAACAATAGGGCTAGGCGGGGCTAAAGCCCCGGGGCCCGAGCAAGGAGGGGGCCCGTGATTGGCTGTGGTGCAGATTGACTACTACTAGGAATCTGATTTCCAAAGCCTTACCACGCCCCCCACAAATTGGTCCTGTTATTTAGTGGGGCTTTGCCGTATATTCCATGCATTATCATGGAATCATTATCATTAATATTATAGTGACCGTTCGCAAAGACCCGCCTTTTTTAGTTACTGTGTGACAAGCCAGGCGGCTCAAGAGTCAAGCACATCATGTTCTCACGCAGTGAAAAATACATCGCGGGGCAAAGACTAACTTTACACTGAGTGACTACATACAAGAGAGGGCTCAGACTGTTGATATGAAACAAAGTCTCAACTTTCAAATATTGTCATTTAAGTAATTTAAACAATACCGTTTTTCACGTTCAAGTCCACCGACGTTAATCCACTGACAGCTTTGTTCTCGGACAAAATTGCGTATTCGGCGTTATGATTGGCCAGTTCGCCTGTCAATCAAACCCCCGTGGGCAGCAGGGCATGGTAAATTGAAACGTCACGTTTTAATTTGATCTACCAATCAAATATATTTATTCTATATTTAA